AGGTGTGGGTGCAGGATCTCCGTGACACACTCACTTTATTCCCTCTGGCTGTATAACCAAGAGTGGGGGCTGCTGCATCACACTGAAGCTTTAGTTTTAATTTCTCCTCAATGCCTTTTGACATGACAGCCTTTAGGCTGCTAAGCCACTGCTCTTCAGTTGGGGTGAATGCCAGTTATGGATCCAAAACTCAGGGAAGACGAGATGAGCTTCGATGGAGGGATGAGTTGCTGGAGATGCCCGTCTGTCTTTGTGGTTTTACTCGCCCTCGATAGCGTTTGCATGTATGCATCCTTTCTTCCCACTTTTCTTAGGCACAACCTGGGCTGACCATTGCATCATTTCCTGTAGCCAGTGTTTGCCAGACTCCACTAATGTACATGATAATACTCTGAATCCTGCTAAAATGTGGATGTGGATGGATCAATGTATCTGTGGGAAGGCCTGAGATATCGTGCACTTTATCCCCCGCCCCCACCCAGGGAGTGGGAAATCTGGAGGATCTGCACACAAAGACTCTGGACTCATATTTCCTGTTAGGCAATGACTTGAGCAGGTCCCTCATTTGCCAGGCTGCACAAAGCATATTTCCTTATTTTACTGCCAAGGCCCATTATTCACATATGCTATGTGTTTTGTTCTTCAAAAATGAGTCCTGCCTGTCCTACATAAAGTTCATATTTGGGCTTCCTGTAGCAACACAAACTTTTCTCCTGGTGGTGTTAACAGGGTTGGTGGTGAGACCCCAGGAAGAAGGCTGTTGGAGGAAAGAGGTTCATCTTGTTGGAGGAGCTGGGCTACTTACAAGGCAGATAACGTTCTGCAGCTTGCTGAATTGATGGAGGGAAGCACGGGGACTCAGACTCACCTATTTTTCATTCTTTGAATGAAGTCTATCTTCTGAATTACATGAGCCGTGTGAAGCAGGGAAGAGAGCAATGGTTCTGGAAACAAAAACAGAGTTCTTATCTTTTAATACAGAAGAGAATGCCTCAGGATATTATTACTTGTGATTTATGGGGTGCATAGCAATATGACCAGTGTCTCACCATAGCCGACAGAAGACTCTGACCCTCTGCCTTTGATGAACTCTTGTAGTTTCCCAGGGGCAATTTTCCACTGAAGGAGAACAACTGCATCACAAAATTCTGACTTAAAAAATCATACTGAATGAGCAACTAGTAAACTCAGCTTCTATTCTGATCATAGATTTACCATCTACAATTCCTAAACCTTCTCACCACTAAGAGGTTAGGGTAATTATACTGGCTCTTAAGGTTTAGTTGTGAATGAAATATCTTTGAGTATATTTATTAGTTAGTCTTAATTTTGAGTGGGGCTGAGGATGTGACTTGGCTGGGCATGGTGATACACGCCTTTAATCCCAGTACTCGAGAAACAGAGACAGGTGGATCTTTCAGTTTGAGGTCAGCCTGGTCTACACACACACACACACACACACAGAGAGAGAGAGAGAGAGAGAGAGAGAGAGAGAGAGAGAGAGAGAGAGATATCCAGGACAGCCAGGGCTACACACAAAAACCCTGTCTCAGAAAAGAAAAACAAACAAACAACCCCCCCCCCACACACACAAAAGTGATTGCCACACCATGAGGTTTGGATCCTCTGCACCCACTCAAAACAGCTGGTTGCAGCAGTGAGGTGAGCACCCAGGGTCCCAGTGCCGGGAAGGTGGACACACGTGCATTCCTGGGGCTTGCTGGCTGGCCAGCCAGTCTAGTTGAATTGGCGAGTCCAGGTCCTAGTGAGAGACCTTGTCTCAATAAAAATTGTGAAGAAAGATTGAGGAACAAAACCCGATGTTAACCGCTAGCTTCCACATGTACATAGACACACATGCACCCCAACACACACACACATTCACACACACATACACACACACATACACACACATTCACACATACATATACACACACACCCTATGAATACATATACCATACACAAAATATTGTTCAGAACTCAACTTTTTGAATATATATCAGGTTTTATTAACAAGATAAAACTTTGCAAATAAATGAAACCAGCTAAACAAACAAAATAGAGACGGATTGCTTCCTTTAGAGACAGTGGTGAATGAGGAGGTAGCCTGGGTACTTTCCTGCCTTCTTGTTTCTCTGATTTCCCAGAACTTTATCTTGGGATAATGTCAGACTTAAACAGACAAATTGCAAGAACAGACCAAACAATTCTGGCATAATTTCCACACTAAATTTAATCCTATTTGCATCCTCTTTCTTCTTGTTTGTGCATCTATATTTAAATGTTATTTTCTGACCTGATTAAGAAACATACATATCCCTTTATGCCCAAACACTCTAAGTATTATAAACATTATGTTATTTTCTTACATAGCCATAGTGCAATTATCAAAATCAGCAAATTAAATTAATGATATTATTAAATCTATTGACACCAAAATCTGTCAATTATCTTAATAATGTCCTACAGCCACAATAAAACATAGTTTTCGTTGGTTCAAGATCCAGGCAAGGCTCAGGCGTTATATATAGATGTCCTGTTTCTTTTTCTTTCTCATTTTTTTTTTTTTGCTTCCTTAACCCCAATCATCAACCCAGTCATTCTCTGTTTCACAAAGAGGGTAGATTTTTGACCTTAAGAGATTTCACGGAGGCTGAACAGACAAATGTTATTTTAACAAGCAACTGTAAAAGGCTGTGAGGGAGTCCCAAGGTTGAATTCTGAGAATACGAAAGTCATAAAATAAGGGAGTTATTAAGAAAGTTATAAAAACAACACAGTTATTATAAAAAACACAGAAGTGAATCAAGCAAAAATAAAAGTCCTCCTCCTAGTCCTAGCTCTCATTTGAATAAAGAGTTCAGGATTTTGCTATATTGTTTCAAATATTTTCTATGCTCATAAAATATATGAATTTACAGCGTATGCTTTTTAAAATGAAAATGAGGCCATACTATAAATATTATCCCATATCTTTCTTTTTAAAAATACACTAGTGTGTTATACAGCCACGTGAGAGTGGACTTTTGCATCCCTGTTGAGGACTCCCAGTCTGAGTCCAGCTCTTCTGCCTCACCCTTGGTGATAGCTCTGATTCATTGAGAGCCTTGGGAAGAGCCTTGTTCATAGCTAGGTGATCAAGTACCAAGGAGAGTTCGGGATGCAAAGCCTTTCTGGAGTTTTGAGTCTTTCTTCCTTCTCCTTAATGGTATACAGAGAGCTTTCCCTTAGTTTATGCCCATTCTTGGAAAACCTCCTGCGGGTAGCTAACTTGGGAAACCTTGATCATACTTGGGTCGTATACCCTGACACTAACCCACTCCCAGGTTGAAAACATAGATATGAAAAAAAATGCTGAAATAACACTTCCACTCACTAAAGTCTGTCTCTTGACAGTACTGGACACTTACATGAGTGCACGTGCACAAACACACACACACACACACACACACACACACACAGGCACACACAGGCACACACAGTCTTTGTAAAGTTTCTATAATCACAGTTCCCCCCACCCTGGGTGTTGTTTTCTAGCTATTTGGATAGTCTTTGATCTGTATCCCAGATTAGCAGTGCAGCTGTTCTCCAGGCTTAGACATACTTGCCGGATCTTGGAGGACTTTACCGGGTTCTTGCAAGTGTAGGCTGAGCCTCTTTAACGAAGCCAGTCTTAAGGATTGCCGTGGGCTGCTTTTCCTTTGGTCCTGGTCTGCATTCCTCAGGACCTTTCTGACCTTCAACTTTATTTGTTCTTTGCTCACCCTGACCTTATGGTACTTTTAAACCCAGAGGCCACCAGGCTGTGAAGAACCCAAGTTATATGTGCATTTGATGGCCATATTAGTGGCTTTCCCATTTTGCTTCTCCTCGACAGCCTTTGGCCTTGAAAGCTCTTTGGAGCAGGGTCTGTTTTCCTATAACTGCCTTCTTGCACTTGTTGGGCAAAATCGGAGCAGTGATTGAGTCCTCAACACCCTTATGGCACTGCAGAGTAATAACATTTATCACACTTCTTGTTTAAGCCCTTTGGAGAATGACATTTCACAGTGTAATTTTGTGCCACTGATTTGTCCCTCGTGAGTTTTAACTTTCAGGGTAGAATTCCCTCTTACGGCTTCACCCTTTTCCTATTTTGTGTATCTATGAGAAGTTGCACAAGTCAGGCATAGCAAATGGAATCAGGTCATGCTCCCAAGTGCCCTTCACCTCAAGATTCCTGATTGGTTTTTCCTTATGAGTTGTGAGCAGGCCCAAATTACCTCACCTCTAGCTGCCCTTTCCACTTTATGAAACAGGGCACTAAGAGCGACACTGCTCTAAAAATCCCCGGATGACCTGCAGTTTGCTTCTTTTTATTATCCCTTAAACAATGTCCCAGTAATTGAAATCTCAAGTAGCAGAGTTTTGTGATCCTGTCACTTAGCATTTAGCTATGTTTGGCTTGTTTGTTTGTTTATTTATTTATATTTAAACCCCAGAGAGGTTAGAGTCTGCCTTTGGGACCCGAGGGACCCAAACCAAGACTATCAGTCATTCACTCAACAGCAAGTAGTTAAACAGGGGTCTTAGCCACCACACTTATTTGAGAGTCAGAAGGAGGAAAAGATGGAGAGGAACTCCAGGAACCTCAGGCCATTTCAGAGGGAGCAGCAGGGGGAGCAACATGGGCATTGAGATTTATACTGCATGATACATTTTATTTATTTATGGGGACATGGTATCTGTTTTTTCCCCGTATGGTAATTTATCAGTGAGTTCATCCTGATTTAGTGGTGCATGGAGGACACCTGGTGCTAATTCCCCTTTATTTCATATATTTCTTCTACCTTAGCTCATAAAGCGTCAATGCTGCCACTTCCTTTATCATCCATCTGTATTTCCTTGCGAGTCCCGCTCTTCTTGATCTATGGCGCAAGCCCTCCTTTCCCACCCCTTTGTCCTCTCTTCACAGATTGCATTCCTCAGTATTGACGTTTCACTCACTTGATTTATCCCAACAGCTTCCCTGATGCCAACCAGCTCATAATTCCCTTTCTGGGAGCATCACTTCAAGGCCTTCCTGGTTATTTCCCTTGGCTCCTCGTATTTGTGGATCGACGCCTAAGAAATTTACTGGTGATTTGTCCTCTCTTCTAGTTTTCTGTTTGCTTAGATCCAAACCACAGGTGCTAAGTGGTGAGCCCCCAGCCCCCACAGCAGGGTATCTGGAATTCTATGAGTTGTAAGCTCATTCTTGCTGGGGTGTACTGGAGGGTCCTATCTTGGCAGAAGGGCCATCCTGGATTTGCTTCAAGGCGAAGGCTTGTCCTTTTGCATTCAGTGAAACCTTGTTAATCCAGGACTCCTTAACTGAATCCCATGGAGCTTCTGGAAGGCGAGGGCTGGATAATGAGATTCAAAGGGAATTATCTTTGAAAAAGAGGAGCATATCTGTAAGAAATGCATGTGAAAGTTTGCTTCTTTCTCATTTTAGGACGATATTTGTGTGTTCTGACCAAACCATAGTCACAGATACATGTGGTATGGAAGGACACAGGAGAAAGTCAGAAGAGGTATTTTTTCTCTTTCTGAATTCTCATGATGATGACATTAAAATATTCAATGGTACATTGTCACAGACTTCCAGATGCCCTGATTTTATGAGCTTTCTTGGACCAGTTCCTCTGATTCTTCACTAAGATGTCCTTACATATGATGTATTAGAGATGGTTTGTAGGAAAATCGAACTTATTTTAGGACCCTCCCCATCATTTAAAATTACATTGCCACAGAGGACACTTTCCATGCTGTAGCTGTGCTCCATAAGATGTGTGGAGCTGGGGTCTCCCAGTGATGTGCTGGCTGTGGGCTATGATACTGATCCTGGCTCACCACCTGACAGTGGATAAAAGACTTTCAGACTGTGAGTAGTGTGTTTGGCATTTGAAACGGCCTCCAAAAGGCTTATGTGTTGAAAACTGGGCCCTCATCTGGTGGTTCCGTCGTTGTGTGGTGATTGGCTCACAAAGGCTGCAACCACTCAGTGAACTAATTCATTGATGAATTCATAGCTGAATGGGTTGTTAGGAGGTGGGGCCTAGTTGGAAGAGAGTCCCTTCTGTCCATCTCCATTTCCTGGCCACTGTGAGGTGAGTATCTGTGTTCTGTTACCCATTCTCTGCTATTACACTTTGCTTTACCACTGGCTTACAGTGACCACAGAACTAAGTGATTGAAATCCCTAGCTATGGTTGGTTTTAATGTCTACTTGCCACAAATTAGTATCACCTGAGTAGCAGGTCTCCATGGAAGGACTGTCTTGGTTGCCTTATTGATGTGGGAAGACCCATCCTGATTGTGGGAGGCACCTTCTGCTAGCAGCCCAGACAAAAAAGTGTAGCAGAAGGAAGGCTCTTCCTTGCTTTTTGCTTGCTTGGCCTTTCCTCCTGCAGCCTGGTTGGTTTACCCAGTTACTGGTGCTGCTGCTGCTGCTGCTGCTTGCTTCCTTTGCTCATGTCAGGACCAGTGTCTCCAGGCTTCCACTGTGGACTAAGAGCCAGCAACTCTGCTGGCTTTTCAGCTCCAGATTGGGACTGCTGAGTACCCAACCTTGTGGGACTGAGAAGCAACTAGGATGTTGGTTGACTTCCCCAGTGTGAGCCAGCCACCTGTAGGGCTACTCTGACTGATGAGTACCCATTCAAACACATAAAGGGTTCTCAGCCTCTCAGGTGTGAGGAAGCTGCTGATATTTGAATATAAATAGATGGAACACATCTTTCATCCATCCCATTGGTTCAGTTCTTCTAGAGAGCCCTAATATACCTCTGAAAACATGAGCTTAAAAATACCTTTCTCGAAGTTGCTTTGGCTAGGTATTAATCACAGTGACAAGAGCCGACAGGCAAACTGAGTGGGAACACTGGTCAACAAGCCATTTCCTGACTCCATGTTTCTGAGGAAGTACTGGTGGTGGAGACACTGCAGTACCTTTCCCTCACTAACATTATCCTGTCTGTGGGAATAAAGGAGACAAGTTGACCTCCACATCCTAAAAGCAACTTTAAAGGGGTTTCTGTTGTAGCGGAGGAATTTGGGAAGTTGTAAGGAAGAGTTCCCTAGCTCTGAGGAAGTCACATTGCTTGCACTGTTGTATAATCACATCCTCAACAGTGCTTTAGAAGTGTTTTTCACTTGCAGGGAAGACCACAACAGGCAATTTCAGCTTGTGTTTTCTGATAGCAATACACGGATTTCTGCCCTCAAAGTGTTCCTGGGAGCCCATGAAATGAGAGCAGGCTTATTGGTAGCTCACCTGAGTACAGAAAAGCAAAACAGTGACCACAGATGGCAAGAGAAAAACAAGCCAGACAACAAAATAGAGTAAGAAGTATCTCTTTAGCATAACACACAGTAGAAAGTCAAACTATTTTCCTTAAACTCTACTGTTGAAAGAGAACAAAGGTTATAAAAAAGAGAGATGGTGTCTCTTCTTGAGTGTACAAAAGAGAAAACAGTATTGCTGATATCATTCAAGAAATCAGCAGTTGAAATCGGAAGTATGACTAGCGTGTCCAAAGGGCCTGTCTACTTCACTCATCCAGCGCAGAGCTGAACATGCTTCACACATGCCTATGAGGACGATCCAGAGTTAAAAGAAGCAGCATTCATCATGGTGCTCTAACATTCACAATCAGTTTTACAAATCCAACCAGTCCTCACCAGCTGAATCTCTGGAGTTCTGTAAAGAATTTAATTATCTTATTGTAAGATGATATATTGTCTGTACTTAGGATTAAGCTTCAGATGTTGACTAAAATGTGTAGACTGATGGCTTTTAGCAAGAATTGATGACAGGATCTGAAACAGAGCAGACTCCTAAGTGTTGGGCTATGGCTTGTCCTTCAGCTGGCTTCTTGAAGACTTCCCTTTTAAAGTCAGTGAGAAGTACTGATCTACCATTTATGAGGGGCATAATTTATCTGCATTGATTAAAATGATCAAGTGTGCAATGACAGCTCTTTCTATTCCAGGTAAATGCCTCCTTTGTGCTTTGCAGACAAGAGTTTCTGACATGTCACAGGAAACGCTGAAGAAGTCACTCTTCGGGGTGTGTTTTCATCCAGGAGGCAGTGTGAGATGGATTAATGGCAAATCACAATAAATTATTTATCAGATAATAAGTGTGATAATTGTCCTTATTTATCACCAGTATAACTTGCCTTGTTCTCCTGTCATGCATTCCATCAAACCCTCCCTGCAGATTTGCTGGTTAAAATAGACAGTCAAAAGGTCATTCCAACAATTTTTACTCATAATGACACACTGATTATCTCCTAATTGAGAAATGTAAACTAGAGGCTCTGGAAGTAATGTGAGTGACCCTTGTATTGCTAACATAGTGGAGAGAGTCACTGGGAACCTCATTCATCCTGCCACCCAGCACAACCCGCAGTCATTTTGATGTGCTTCTAAATTAATTGGAAATACCTTTTTTTTTTTTTTTTGTGGAGGAGGGGAAGAACAAAAACAAAACCAAGAACAACCTGCATGCCCAAATTTGTTGCAAAAGAAAAAGTAGTGCTGTAACATACCTTTCACTCTGTACTGTCCTTCTGGCAGCTAATCCATTGAAGCTTAATTGTAATTATCCACCAGGTCCGAGCCTGGAGAGGAATACTGATTACTGCTACGTGCATTTCCCTGGGTAAGACTGTGTGCATATTGAGCCTGTTGCAAAGTTTCGAGTACATTTATTTCTATTGGCAGCTGTAATGGATCATTGGTCATGAGCTATTTCTGGATTTGGTGTAATGAGAGAAAATAATTCCACCTTCCTTGTATAGAATTCTTTAAAGATTGTCAACACAAATGAAAATATTACAAAAGTAGATTGGAGCACATTTATGCACCTCTGCTTTGGGGTCAGATCTACGGTCCCAAAGGACTTAATTTATTTTCTTATGGTTTACATGTCCATCCAGACATTCATATTCAGTTGTATTCATGCACGTTTCCCAAATGGTCTTAATGGGACTTGTGCTTCAGTCTGGATAGTCCCCTAAAGACCAATGTGTTAAAGGTTTGATCCTCAGGGTGGTGCTACAGGAAGAGGGTGGAACCTTTGAAAGATGTAACCCAGAGGGAGGACTTGAGGTCATAGGGTGGTGTGCCTTTGAGGGGACTGTAAGACTGTAATTTCAGTCATCCTCTCTTTCCTCTCTTACCATGGAGTGATTTTACTCAGCCACATACTACCACCATGGTGTAATTTCTGCCTCACTATAGGCTTAAAGTGACAAGGCCAATCCACCATGGACAGGGGCCTCCAAAACCGTGAGCCCCTTTTTTCATTACAAATTAATTATCTCAGGTATTTTGTTAGAGTGATGGGAAACCAACCAACACAATTGTTCTCCAGGCAAAAATAATTTCACATATTACTATCTTTTCTCTCCCGTCTCTTCTGCCCACCTCCCCAAGTTCAAAGCTCAGTTTCTCTCTCTCCTATGCTCAGTTACTCACATATGTCTACCTTGTCACTTATTTCATAGTCTCTTTGAATCATGCTGCTCTCATGAGACCTATGAACAAATTCTTCTTCCTTTTTTAATTTAAATTAGAAACAATCTTGTTTTACATGTCAATCCCAGTTCCCTCGCCCTTCCCTCCTCTCCTGCCCCCACCAACTCTCTATGCCATCCACTTTCTGTTCCCCAGGGAGTGTGAGGCCGTCCATGGGGATCTTCAAAGTCTGGACAATGTCTTCTAACATGGCTTAAAACCATCTTACTTTGTTTTTGTGAGTCAGGAATTTTGGAGCATTTATGGGTGGCCCTGGCTCAGTGTCTGGGGTTGCAGTCACGATGTTGGCTGAGCTGTAGTCATCTGAAGACTGGACTCAATGCTTCCAGGAAGACTCGCTGGAGCATCTGTAGGTACCGCATTCATTACGGCACGCATCCCTCTGTGAGTCTCACAACATGGCAGCTGGCTTTCCCCAGAACAAGCCATCCAACACAGCAAGGTACAAGCTGTAATGTGGTTCGTGACCTAGCCTTGCAGCACACTCTGTGAGGCCCACACTTTAGTTGTATTTATTGTGGGAGGAAAATGCCCCAGGGCAGAAAAACCAAGCAACAGGGGTCACTGGGGACTTTCTAGGAAACTGGGCACTGCATTTGTGTAGACTCATTTATTTGACGTTAGTTTGCTTTCCTGTTCCTTCTAACCATGCTTAGAAGGTGAGGGGGTGCGGTGCTCAGCTGGTGGAAACGGCAGGGTCCATCCAGCCTTTTGATGCGAGGGTTACATTGGGGAAACAACTCTTCAAACCACCATGGAAGTTCTGTTCATCCTCTTGTCAATCAACTTGGTGATTTCCAGTGTGAGTATCCTAGAAAAGTCCTGTGAAGTGCCTACTAGAACTGCTCTTTAGTTAAACTTAGAGGATGGCAAATTTTATGGCCCACTTAATGGGTCTCACAATCCCTGCATTGGAACTCCTTCTGTTTTTTTTTATTATTATCTATTGTTATTAGATAATTTCACACATTTTACATGTGTTGGCTGCTCTCATCCCTACCTCCATGCTCTTCCATCTTCTTACCACCCTTTTCCATCCTTCCCTCCCCACAAAGTTCTAGCTCATGTCCTTGTCTATTGAGTTTGTTTTGTCATTGTGGTGATTTAAATGGGAATGACCTCCATAGGCTCATGGGTTTAAATGCTTGGCCCCCTATTTGGTGGAACTGCTTTAGGATGGATCAGGAGGTATGGCTTTGTTGGAGGAGGTGTGTCACTGGCTTTGAAATTCCAAGTGTTCATGCCAGGCCCAGCCTCTCACTCTCGATTTCCAATTTGTGGATCAGATATAAACTCTTCTGCTGCTGCTCCAGTGTCTCACCTGCCTGCCTCCTGCCGTGATCCTCATCATGATGGTCATGGACTCACCCTTTGAAAGGGTAAGCAAGTCTTCAATTAAACACCTTCTTAAATTGGTTACCATGGTGTGGTGTCTCTTCACAGCAACAGAGAAGTAACTGAGGCTGTGACCTACTGGGTTTATTCAGAGCTGTCCTTGTGAAAATGGGAACTATTTGTTGGAGCCTGTTGTGATCAGCAAATGAGCACACAGCTAAAGACAGTGACTTCTCTCCTAGAATCTGCCAATATCTAATAACTGGACACTACAGCATAGGACCTTGTGAGCCCTTTCCCTTTCCATGACTGATTGTTGATAGGGTTGGCCTTGTATGGGCCCACAGTTGCTGTGAGCTGATGATTGTTAATGACTGTATCACTTCAGAGGGTGACATTTGTAGCCCTTCACCCCATCTTTCAGCTCTTACAAGCTTCCCTCGCCTTTTGCAGCGTTCCCCGAGCCTTAGAGGGAGTGGTGTGAATGTCTCGTCTTTGGCTAAACCCACAACTGTCACTTATTCTGAGCATCTTGGGCAGCCCTGAATCTCTTAATTTACCACCATTCATTTTAAACAGCTGCTTCTCTGAGTAAGGCTGAGGGCAGCGCTTGTCTGTGTACAAACATAGCTATTTGGAAGGCAATTTGATGGCGTCAATTTAGTTAATTATCAATACTAAGTTCCCTATCGAGACCCTTTTAACAATACTTTTCAAACTCAATTGTCCACAAATGTATTTTTGTTTTTGTCAAACTAATAATACCCTCCCAAGCAAGTTCTCTGGAAAATATGTGTTTTGAAATACTGGTTTACATTGTTAAATGTTCTCATCCTACATTATTCTTAAAAGGGTTTAACCCTTAAAAGGGTTGTCATACAGAAAGCAGCACGTTTTATCTACCTTGGATTCAGATGTTTACCTTGAAAGGCAATCCTAGAATTGCAGCATGTAACCCAGTACCTGACTGCTTGCTTGCCGGGGATCCTCCATTGCCCACCACCTTCACCGTGCTCCCAGAACACTGTTTTATGTTTCTCTATCCTTGTCTGAAATCTTTATAGGAATCAGCCTCGAAGACTTTCAGAGTGCATTAAGCTCCTTCCCCGAGATGGAGGAAAATTTCTCCACCTACATATAAGCTCAGAGAAGCCTCGCTCTGCTGAGAGTAAGCATCTCTTAGTGGTGTGTTTTATGGCCGAAGTGTTTGTCTTGGTATGTTAGCCTCTGGGGCATAACCATTTCTTCTTATGAGCCTGGTGTAGCACTCGGCACACTGTCAGCACTCAACCCGAAATAAATCATCATAATCACAGTTATAAACATAAATCAAGGGGAGCACAATTTTACTTATTTATGGCCTTCCAGGAAAAGCACAATGGAAAAGGCACAGTTATTTTCCCTTATATTATCCTATATCATTTCCAAGCAAAATGTCACGCTGTCCACTAGCCTGTAACCAGGTAATGAAGGATTTGGTATAGCCCCCACAATTCCATGGGGCCAGAGGCAAGAGGTGTGAGGCTAAGAGCTTACATTTCCTAAGTTTGCATAATTAAAACCTGAATTTCTAGGGCTTATTAAGATAATATTTAACATATAATTATCTTGACATTTTAAAAAGGAAAAGTGTTAAGACAAATTATGTGGTAATGTTTAATCACAAAAATCTCCTGGCTGTACTCATTTCTTCAAAGGTCCACTCTCTCTGATTTCCAAGGTGAGCCTACAGCTTAATAAAGATTTTTAGCCTGATGTTTCATCTAACAGTGTATTAGTTAGTGGGCTGGCCCTCTAAGGACAGAAAATGCTTTTATGTCTGGAGTACATTTACCTCTCTGAAATCAGACATCCTTAAGGTTGGGCTTGTCTCTCCCATGACTGTTAATAACAAGCTGTAACAGTCACTTTTGCAGGATTTGGAAAACACACTTATATCCACAAATATGTTTATACAAAAATAACCAAATATACACATGACCCAGCATTCATTACCCCCTCTGGTGCTGGGAGTTGAACCTAGGACTGTGTGCATGATAAGCAAGTCCTCTACCACTGAACTATGCACCCAGTCCACTCGAACATTTGGGAAGGCAATTCTGTTGAACACATACTCTGTTTAAAACATTTAAGTATTTTTCTATTTTAAAAATGGACTTGTACAGTTACATGTATGCATTTATCTTGAAGAACATGGCATTTTGAAGCATGTATGATTTGTGGAGGGGTTGTGTCTATCATGTCATATAGCCACCGGCTTTGT